ACATTAGATGCATTTGAACCAGATGAACATCAGTCTGACAAAGCCCTGAGTTCTTGTCATTCTATATAAAATTCCAAAGACAGTGAGACTAACGGGAAAAAGGCTTTTTTTCAATAGAAAATGAAATCTAGACGGTGTTTTATATAGTTAAGGCTTTTGTGGCTCTCAGTCCACTTCCTAGTTTAGAAATATCAGTGAGAATGGTATATGACGTGACTTCCTTTCAAAATGGTATGGTTTGGTCTGATCATATGAAAATGCTTCAGAACATCATGAAAGGGTGGCCCTACAGGCCCTGGGATTGTGCTCCTTGCTTGTGGGACAGGAGATGGTGGGCAGGGGCTGGGGTAACAACAGATCTTGAGCAGGGATATACATGGCCACTTTCCCAAGGGACAGGTGGAGGTAGAGAGGATGGAATAGCAAATGGTTTAGGGGGTAGAATGTACAGGCTCTAGTGAGTGGCTGGGTAGTCAGTTGGGGAAGTGGGTTATATAGGAAGGCTAAGGGGAGCCCTTGGGGTGAGAGTCCCAGACACGGACTCTCCCTCAGCTGAGCATTGACCACTGGCAAGACAAGCATCAAGAAGAATGTGATATCAGTGCAGGCATGGTGATCTGGGGAGTGTGCATTTGCACATGGTGAAAAATGGGTATGTTGTATACACTGAATACTGTGTGTACCTGGGCATCCGTGGTGACTTATAGACCTAGTAAGGGTGGCACTCCGTCCGTATACATTGAGGCGAGGACATGGTGAGCTGGGGACGTGTTGAGATGTGTCCACAGTGCAGTGGTGGCTAGCATGTAGGTGAGGAGATGTGTGAGCATGCCGTGTGTTCACATTGTATATACGTTGAGGGGTGCACACATGAAGTGGCTGCTGGGATGTATTCCTGGCGAGGTGGGTGTGTGTGGGAAGGTATGTCTGTTCTCTGAGATATGTGTACAAGGTGAGGCGTGTTCACTCTGCTCAGGCTGAGGTGCGTGTAAGTGCCGAGATGTGCCGACTCATTCATCGCCAGGTGAACATCCACGCTGTGTATATGTCAGCGTGTGTTAAGTGAACAAGAGGTGTAGGCTATGCATGCTGCCCTGGAGCAGCTGGCACAGCCTGGCCTTGGAAGGGCAGGGGAGGTCCCCTCTGCCACCATAACCACTGGGGACTAGGGCTGCCCTCACAGCTGTGACTTCATTTACCCTTATCACAACTCTCTTCCACAGGTGGTGTCCCTGAGGTTCAGATGGGAAAACTGAGCCCCTTTTCTGGTTCACCATGTGGCTGCCCCCGAAAGCCACTCTACTCTCCCTATCTCAGTTTACCCACCTGTGGGATGAGGAATTGTGATTGGCTTGGAGGACCCTGCCCCCATACTGATGTGCCAGGGCTAGGCTGTTGGTGTCAGATCTGGGCCTCAAGCCTGCTGTTCTCATCTATGCAGTGGGATCATAAGCCATCCTCTGAGTTAGCAGAGGAAGTGATGGGAACAGGGTGGCTGCTCAGAAAAGTAGCTGCAGTAGAGGCCTTTGTGATCACACGGCCTGGGCCGTTTTGCTGGGCACCCAGCCTGGGATCCATGGAGAAATCTGAGGCTGGAGAGGGACAGGGGCTTGCTTAAGGCCACATAGTGAAACTGTGGCAGAGTCGGCTCCAGAACCCAGCTATCTTTCCCAGCCCGGGCCTCTGCCTGGCTGCTGGGTGGCTTCAATGGCAGTACCCAGCACAGAAGGCCAAACTCTCTGAGGTGGGGAGTGAGAGTGCTTCAGGACCGGGAGGTCTGACCTAGGTAATGAGCCCGAGGCTGGGCGGCCTGCGGCGGCCAGCGGTGCGCTAGGAACGTGCACTGCCCTACGCGCCACCCTCGTTGAAGCCTGTCCGCCCATTCTCAGGTGCCCGGAGGCGGCGGCGAGTGGAGCACCGCACTGCTGTCCCCGCGCGAGGCGGACACTACGGCGGAGGGTCACATCCCGTGCCGGCGCATGCGCAGCGGCAGCTACATCAAGGCTATGGGCGATGAAGACAGCGACGAGTCCGGCGGCAGCCCAAAGCCCTCGCCCAAGACTGCGGCGCGGCGCCAGAGCTACCTGAGGGCCACGCAGCAGTCGCTGGGGGAGCAGAGCAACCCCCGCAGGTGAGCGCGCAGTCCCGCCCCCTAGAGTCCCGCCCCCAGGCAAGCCCCGCCCCCGGAATCCCTGCTCCAGATGTCTAAGTACCGCCCCAAGAGGTCTCTGGTCACACCTGAGCCCCGCCTCCTAGGAGCCCGCCCACCAGAAGCCCTCTGCTACTTGTGAGCTCTACCTTGAACTGAGCCTCGCGTCTCCCGCCCCCTCCCCACCCCGCAAGAGTCCCGCCCTCAAGTTACCCTGGTCCATTGGAGCTCCGCCCCTTCAGGTGAGCTCCGCCCCTTCAGGTGAGCACAGGACCTCTACCCTGGAAAAGCCTCTTAACTCACATACAAGCCCCGCTCACAGGCAAGCCTTGCCCCCTAGGTGAACCCCTCACAGGTGTGCCCCATCCTTGGGAACGTTGCCTTCCTCCCCTTCCGTCACCCCGGGAGAGCCCAACCCCACAGAAGAACTTTGCCTCAGATCCAGGTGAACCCGCTCCCACAATCCAGTCCCCCTAGGTGAACCCACCTTCAGGTTAGCCCCCTTCCTGAGATCTTCCTCCTTAGATTGGCCCTTGCACTTTAGTGGACTTTGCAGAGCTCTGCCATTTGGCGAACCACCTGGTAACGCCCCACGCGGGTAGAGTGACTGGCCCAGGTAAACCCTGCCCATGGGAGCCACATTCCCAAGTGAGTTCCACTCCCACAGAGCAACTGCCCTGGGCACCCTCTCCTTCAGGTTAGGAGAACCAAGCCCATCACTTGTGCCAGCACTGCCCATGGAAGGTCTGAGTCCCCCCTGCCCAGGCTCCCGTAATTGATACCTGTGACGAACTCCAAGATCGAGGGAGGATCCAGAAGTCAAAAGAAGATAGATAGCCGTCATCTGTCCCATCGCCCTGCCTGGAATTCTACCATTCAAGCCTTAAGACTTGAAAGAATTAATGAAAATAAGAACAAATGAAACATGTGCACAAAAAACACTAATTAAAATGTTAAGAGAGGTGAGGCTTTCACATGCAGAAGTCACCCTGGGGATTAGAACAGAAAGGAATGAGAGGCAAGTTACAGAAAAATCTATTAAATGGGTACAAAACAGGTGAAACTTGGTTTAGGAGATTCAAAGTCCACTGAGGAAGAGAAATAAAAGCAAGTCAGAAACAAACCAAAAAAAACCCTGGAAGAATAACAGGAAACAAGCTTAGGCCTAGTTCTCCAACTACCAGGGGCATGAATCAAGGCTTTATGGAGGAGATAGTTTGGGAGGACTGAGACAGAGGAAAGAGGGTAGGTCAGGTGACAGTAGGACTGAGGCAGGGAGGGGGAAGCCAGGAGTCTCATTGGCTGGGACAGAAGGCAGGGAATGGCCTGCGGGTGGAAATTCAGGACACCAATGGCTAGTCTCAGGTCTGTCCCTCTTTGAGCTTCAGTTTCCCCATCTTTAAGTAAGGGGGCTGAGCTGAATGATCTCTAAGGCCCCTTTTAGGCCTGGGATCCTACAATTCTATGAATGACCAGTGGGCACTGAAGTTGGAGAGATGGTCAGGACCGGGGCAAAGGCCTTGAATGAGGGGAAATCAATAACAATGGTTGTACTAGTAACGGGCGCTCTCTGTTAGTACTTGCTGTATTCTGGGCTCTGCTGCTCCAGTGCATTTTAATCTGCATCACTTAATCCTCCTCATCACAACCCCAGCAGGTAGGCACAGTGTCAGCCCCACTTAATAAGTGAGGAAACTGACACTTAAACAAGGGGCGATGAATTGCCCAGGGTCACCCTGCAAGGAAGTTGGATTCCAATCCAATCCCATCTGTATCAAGAGCCTGAGTTGTTGTCTGCTTGGACCTTATTCCCAAAGCAGAGGTGGGAGGAGGTTCAGGTAGATATGAGAAAGTTTGAAGAGCAGGTGCCATGAGAAGCAGTGAGTCTTTGGGGGCCTGGTGGATGCCACCTGGACATCGTGTTGAAACTGATGCCCTTTGGGCGGCCCCATTCTGAGATCAATGCTATGAGCCTTGACCCACCTCCTCTGTCTAGCTCCTGGAATTGCCCCAGACATGCAAGGGAGGGGGCTATAGAATTGAGCTGGCTTGGTACATCTAGGGTTTGAAATGGTCAAAAGCAAGCTTGTGCTGCCACCTCGTGGCTACAGTAGATATGACAGGCAAGGGCCACCTACACTCTCCAGTCTCAAGCCTCCAAAAGCTGAGAGCTCTCCCTTGCTCATTGTCCCCACCACCACCACTACCTGGATTGACAGTGACTTCCATTTTTCCCTCTGCCACTGAATGACCTTGGCCAGTCTTTTCCCCTCTGGGCCTCAGTTTCCCAGGCTGAGCCCTGTCTGTTCCCCACCCCCACCAGGAGTCTGGACCGCCTGGATTCTGTAGACATGCTGCTGCCCTCCAAGTGTCCGAGCTGGGAGGAAGACTACAACCCCATCAGCGACAGTCTCAACGACTCCAGCTGCATCAGCCAGGTGAGGATGGTGGGCAGCCAGAAGGACACTGGGCTTGGGAGAGCCCCATCACCCACCCTGGAGAAGGACAGACATCCAGGCTCAACCCATGTTGAGTGGTCTGCACCGTGTTTCTATCGAGTCTTTGTTCTCAAAGCTGACCATGTGTATCTCTGCCCCACTGACTGTCTTGTGGCTGGAGAGCAGTCACAAGGCCTGACATTGCATGGCCTAAGCTGATGGTCATGAAGGTAGGGCCACACCTCTGCTGTAGACCCAGGATCCTTGAGGATTGGGAATTGGAGACCTGGGTTTGAGTCTCAGTCTTGTCACTGACAATTGGAACCCAAGACAAGTCACCCCCATCCTGAGCCTCATTTTTCTGACTTACCCCAGGAGAGTGATAATTCCTATTTCAAAGGGTTGTGAAAATTAATGAGACAATGAACATAAAGTGCTCAGCAAAAAGGGTAGCTACGTTTATGGATATCATTGTCATCTTGCTGTGTGACCTCAAGCAAGTTGCTTCTCCCCTCTGGACCAGTAACAGCAATAAGCACACTATGCTACACTTTTAATTCTCTCAACCACCAGCTCCTTGAACCCTCACAGCCACCCCCAAAAGGAGCCTTATTATTTATATCCCCACTTCACAGATGAGGATACTGAGGCTCAAGTGAGGTCACACAGCTAAGAGGAGGCAAAGCTGGGCAGGGATCCAGGGCTGTCAGACTCAGACCCAGACCTGGCCCCCAGCCCCTGCCACATGCATAGGACTTTAGAGTTTGGAAAGGAAGGACCAGCCAAGGCCTGAGGGCTCCCCCCATGGTGTGTATTTGGAGACCAGGCCCAGAGAGGGCAGATACCTACCAGTAGTCACACAGCGAGGCAGCGAGGGCAGCCAGCTGCAGACCCAGCCTTCTCTCTGGGCAGGAACAGGCCCTGTATCCCACTGCGTGCGGCCCCATGGCCCAGGCTAATGGACTGCTTAGAGCTAGAAGGCTTTGGGACCTCACCACTCCATTCTTCCTGGCCTAGCCAAGCCCTCCCCAGGCCCCCACCCTCAGCATTTCATTCCCAACCTCCAAGGAGACTGACTCAGGTGTGGGGAGACGGGTAGAGTACCCCAGCCATGGGACCCTCTGTTCCTGCCACCCTCATCCAAGCCCCACCAATTCTCACCTGAACAGTTGTATTGGCCTCCATGCCTGTCACCTCCAATCTGTTCTCAGCGGCTGGAGGGTGCTTGTAAAAGACTTAAGTCAGATCATGCCACGCCCCGGCTCCAAACCCTCTCATGGCTCCCACCTCACCCAGATGAAAGCCAGAGTCCTTATTCAGACCGGTGAGGTGCTGCCTCCCTCTGGGACATGATCTTGACTTGCCGTCGCTCACCTTGCTCCAACGACATCGGCCTCCTCTGCTCATCACATACTTTATTCCTGCCCCCACATCATTGCATTTGTTGTTTCCTCGCCTAGGAGCACTCTTTTCTCAAATCTTTGCACAGTTGGCTCTTCCCCTCATTTCGGGTCTTGGCTCAAACGTCACCTCCTCAGAGGGGCCTGCCCTATCAGTCTTTCTAAAGGAATCCCCAGGGCTCTGTTCCCTTACCCTGCTTAATTTTCTTGACAGCACTTACTACTATCTGGAATCACATTTGTTTGCTTATTTGCTTGTCTGTCTCGCTCTTAAGACTAGGAGCTTCCTATAGGCTGGGACCTTGCTGTCTTGTTCCCCACAGTGTCCCTAGCACATGGCACAGGGCACATAGGTATTTGTCGAATGGACGGCTTCTCGCCCTATCTCTCCCATCCTACCCGTTCTCTTGTCTCCCAGTCTCCCTGCCTACATCTGTCTCCCTCTGTTTTCCTCTCCCTTCATTCACATTTTTCTCTAACTCTAGTGTCTCATCTCCATGTTTCTTTCTGGGTCTGTCTGTTTCTCTCTCATCCTCATCTTCATCCCCTGCCTGGCCCTGGCACCTGGAACACTTTTGTCCTTTGGCTACACAAAAAGGCACATGGTATCAGCCAGGCTGGGTACCACTACTCCCTGCCCAGCTCTAGCTCTGTCCTAGCCCAGGGTCCTTTGAACCCCCAAACCCTCACCCCAGAAGCTTGAGTGATCTGAGCTATATATGTGGCCCCAAATTCAGAGAGGTCTCAGCTCTAGCTGTGTCTCTGAGGCTTCAACTCCTGCCAGAAGAAGCCATCCTCCCAGCAGGCATTGGACTATATAGGCCGTGGCCAAGGAAGAGAAGGTTCTAGGGCTCTGTCCCTAATCCATAGATCCTGAGGGGCTGTCGCCTAGGTGAGAGGCAGCAGATAGGGCATCCATGGACCCAGGGACCAGACCAAGAGAAAGAGTTGTAAACAGCAAATTACAAGTCCTCAGCAACACCCAGCCCCAGAAGGAGTGAGCCTCCTATCTCTAGAGGAAGCCAAGTGAGACCTCCTAGCACCTGGGCCTCAGCCAGTAAGAGGAAAAGATTAAACCAGCCAGCCACAAGTTCTCTTGCAGCCAAGCCTGAATATCCCACCTACTCCAGCCCCCAGTCTTGGTCTCCCCATAACCCTCCCCCTCTCTTTCCTGCAGATTTTTGGACAGGCCTCCCTGATCCCCCAGTTGTTTGGCCATGAGCAGCAGGTCAGTATGTTTGCCATTCTCTTGTACCCCAATCCCAGAGACCAAGGCTGGGTCTTAGGCCTGGCATCTAGGTGGTTTTAGCTCCCGGCCTGGGCAGGTAAAAGCAGAGCCAGCACCAGGAAAGCCACCACCAGTGAGGGTGGAGTCCAGGCTCATGTTGGTACCCCTATCACTTTACTTCTTCTCTATGCCTCAGTTTCTTCTCAAAGATGGAAAATAATAAGCTAGGTTCTGTGGATGGGGTGAGAAAGAACCCCAGGCTAAGGGAAGGCGTTCCCTGAGAGTCTTCTGGCTTTCTCCCTCCTCACCTCCCCCAAAGCCTGGGACAGGCCTGGGGAGACTGTTTTATATGGACAGGCTGGAAGCTGGTGGTATTGACCTCCATGTCCCAGCCCCGAGATCCCCTGATTCTTCTTTTTGGGACTCCAATAAGACTTTAATTGATGTTGGAGCATTTAAACGAATGCAGAGACTTCTCAAGTTTACAAAAGTTGATGGAGGCGGTGCCAGTTCTGACACTGTCCAGCTGCCCTAAGGGTGTCCCCCTCCCACACATACTCATCCTACCCCTGAAAGTGGCTCTCTCCTCCCTCCCAGGTTCCAGCCCCAAGACCAGAAAGTGGAGCAGGAAAGGTGCTCTGAGCTCAACTCCTTATTGTGGCCAGGAGTGGCCAAGGACTTGTCTAAAGCCACGTGTCCTGCAGGGACAAAATGAAATAGGACTGGGCTCACATTTCCTGATGCCAGATGTGGGTGCCTTATGTGTCCTCCACTCCCACATCACAGTTCCTCTTGAACACATTATTCCAAAAGGTCTTTGGGGAGCCCACAGTGGACCAGGCAACCTCTATTTCCTCTAACTTCAACAGCTTTGTGGTAAGGTTGTAATGCGTTCGCATACCAACCCCCAGGGCAGTTCCCCACACACAGCGTGTCCTCAGTGATACACATACCAGCAGCACTGCCCAGCTGACCTCTCCCCACTACCCCCACCCTGCCAGAGCTTGGGAGCATCTTAACCAACATTTACAATCTTTGCTCTCAGCCATGGGGCTGCCTGTAATACTAGGTACAGGTTACAGGTGCTTACTCTCCCCAATACTATTCTAAGCACATCATATGAATTATTTAATCTTGACAAAAGTCCTATATAATTTGATCTATAGCCACTATCTTATAGATAGGGAAACAGGGGCATAGAAAAGTTAAGTGACTAGACCCTGACAGTCTAGTTCCAGAGCTGTGCTGTTACTGTATAATCTCAAAGCAAGATGTCATTGCCCTTGGCAGTCACAAGGGCCTCTCAGCATACTTCAGGTTGCAGCTTTGGAGGATAACCACCTATCTCTTTAATATCCGCTCCCAGTGAATTTGAATCTGCCACACAGACTGTTAATTTATCAGCACAGTCCAAGAGAACTTTCTGCAGTGATAGAAATGTTTTGTAATCCATGCTGTCCAATAAGGTAGCATGAGCAGGTGAAATGTGACTAAGGAAATGACTTTTGTATTTAATTTTAATTAATTTAAACCTGAATAGCCACACATAGTTAGTTGCTACCATATTGGACAGCACAGATTTAGACCTTTCCAAACATATGCTCCAAATTGGGTCATGCTCCATCTAGCCATTTTACCTGATGGATGCAGTGTCAGACAAGTACACAGGCATTTCATTTCATTTAGATAAGGAAACACTGACCCAGAGGATAATGATGGCGCGTGGTCACACAGCCCGGCCAAGAGGACAGCTGGCCCCCGGCCCAGCCTCATCTTTTCCTCCACACGGTGCTCAATCAATTTCCCTATAGCCCAGCCCTCCCCAGGACATCCACCCAGTGTCTATCTTTGGCCAGCTGAGTCAGCTTATACTCTGTGATCCCCAGTTACCAACATGGCCTGAGACGTGGGTCAGACAGACCCTTCAAAAACCCCTGGAGAGTGTATGTATTATGGTGAGGCCCCTCTATGTTCACACCCCCAGCTGCAGATTTGTAGGATCTTGAATGGAGGGATATTAGAAGCCATCTAGATGAGGATGAACTAGATATGAGATGGCAAATAGCAGACATGTTGTCATTCTCTATACTGCCCATGGCAGGCATCACTTAATCAATCCTCACTGCCACTACCCTCATTCCAGTCTTATCTTCTCTCACCAGACTCTTGCATCAGCTTCATTTCTGGCCTCTGCCTTCATCCCAGACCCCCTCCCCAACATCCACTCTGTATACCAGGGCTAGATTAATCTCCCTTAAATATCCATTTGGAATGTTGAGTCTACCACTTACAGAGTACTCCTGGCAAGAGTCTTCCCCTTACTGCACATGGCATGAATCATCTAAATCTTGACAACAGTCCTATAAAATTTGGTCTATAACTAGCCCCCATTTTATAGATGGTAAATATCTATAAATTATAAAATAGTAAATCTCTAGCATACCTACTGCCACCCATCATTCCAACATTCAGGGCAGACATTACTAATTGATTAGAACCTTCTTTCTCACTGAATTCAAATGTAACTTAAAAATCTACTATCAATCCATCAGTGCGGACACATAAGAAAAATCTAGTTAATAGCCTAGAAACCATCCGTAATTGTTTTTCCTCCATTGTAGAGATGAGGAAAGTGAAGCCCAGAAAGGTGAGAGGGGCTGTGTGTTTCTTAAGGGCGCCATCGCTCATCCCATACTGAGTGAGGCGCGGGTGGGGGCTGAATTGCGGCCCCATAGACTCGACAGCCCTGTAGCTGAGACGACTCCCAAGTTTCCGGCCCTCCAGGATGGGTAAAGCTGGCTCCTGATGCCTGCCTTTGCCTGGACAGGTACGCGAGGCCGACCTCAGCGACCAGTATGAGGCGGCCTGCGAGTCCGCCTGCAGCGAAGCGGAGTCGGCAGCGGCGGAGGCACTTGACTTGCCGCTGCCGAGCTACTTCCGCTCCCGCAGCCACAGCTACCTGCGTGCGATCCAGGCGGGCTGCTCGCAGGAGGAGGACAGTGTGTCCCTGCAGTCCCTCTCCCCACCGGCCAGCACCAGTAGCCTCAGCAACAGTCGCACGCTTCCGAGTGAGTACCTCAGTGAGTGGGGTTTTTGTTTTGTTTGGCGGGGGGCGGGGAGGGAGCCCGGGCAGCCAATGAGAAACGCTGGGGAGGAATCCATGGTGGACTGACCGCTCCTTGGGGCTGAACTTTCCACCAACTAGCGAACTGGAGCCCAAATGAGGGGGCGGGGGGGCGGTCACAGCGGCAGACTCCAGCACTGGTGGCCCGGATGAGGGAGAAGGCTCCAGCTTGTGCAATAGTACTTCGTTGCCTCTTATTGTCCAGACTCTGGCTCAGAGCAGCCCCCTGCTGGTAGGCAGGGCTCACTGAAGCCCAACCTACCTGTTTGGATTAATTCGGGTAGGCAAATCTGTGGGGAAGGTGGGAACCTGCAGGGAAAGCAAAGACTGCTGGGAGTGGATAGGGTCTGCATTGAGCCTTCTCAAAGGAGTGAGTTTGCAGGTTTCTCTCACATTCACAATCAGGGACAAACTACTCTTCCTGATACTTGCTCTAGATCCTCTTAAAATAACTCATGTAGGATCGGAGAGCAAAAAGGACCCTGTGTCACAGAACAAGCCATGAAAATCAAGAAAATCAAGACCAGGGAAAATCATAGCACAATTTCCGGTCTAGTAGAGAGAGCTTTGAGCTTATTATGGCTAGCTGGTTCTCCTTCATGAGCCTCAGTTTCCTCATCAATAAACAAATTGAGGCATAAGCCAGACCTCAAGGGACACTGGGGGGGATGAAATTAGACTGGGCATAGGAAGTGTTTAGCAGGGCCTTGCACAAGGTAAGAGCTGACAAGTGGTAGCTATTACCACTTGTTACAGACTTGACTTTGAGCTTCCTAACAATTGAAGGTAATAATGAACCTGAATCCTGTGGATAGTCTATACACAGGAAACCAGCTTATTGACAATAAACTGGTGTTTTCAGGAGATAGAGCAAGAAACCACTTTGTTTCACTACTGCCTTCAAACCCTGAGTGATATCTGGGCAGATCACTGAGCTTTTCCAATCACTTTTAGACCTTAAGGAACAGTCTCGTTTTCAGGTGTGAAAGAGTCCAGTCTGGTTTCATTTCAAAACTTCAGTCTTGTATGCCTCAAATCTCATGCACCAGCAGCTAGGGCTTGACTGAGGCTGGGTGTGCTGGTCAGTGTTTTCTGTTCCTTGTTTGGCAGTGGAAGGACCACCTGGTGGTCCAGGAGGGGGGGGGGAAGGTATCTACTGGGGGTATTGTCTGTCATCAGGACTTTCTGTATGACAGATGCCACATGTTGGTTCCTTCTCCTAGGTGGTGCTTTTAGAGTTTCTCCTACCCTGCAGGGCCTGCATGGTGCCTTCTTTCTTAGCATCACGGGCAATCTCTGTCTAGCCTATTGCTTCTTATTCCCCCTCAGCTCCATACTATGTTCCCCTCTTTCCCATTCAGCTTCTTTTTGCTAAGGGACCTGGCCCTGCCAGGCAGGTATCTTGGGCAGAATTCTCTGCAGACAACTCCAGCCCTACTTTCTTCCTCGGCTCCCATTTAATCTGTGTGAAATGAGGCCTTTGCCTTGTGGCACTCTGAAATTATGGGCTAGTCTGCTACAGCCTTCCTTCTAGACCTGCTGTCACACACAGGCAATCCAGCAATTTTCTTCAAATAAACTTTCATTCACCAGTCTCTCCCAACCCCAGTCACTCATGAATGGGCTGAGGATGGGTGATGAGCTGCATGCTTCAGAACTGTCTGGGTCCCTGTATTGGCCAGCTATTGCTAGAGTAGTGCAAACAAGCACAAAATTGATATAACACAACAGTAAACATTTATTTTTTTGCTTCCAAGTTTGTGGATCAACTGAGACAGCTCTGCTCCACAAGTCTCTCATCTTCCTCCTGGGACCGATGGGTCCTCCTGGGATCAGTGGGCTAGCCAGGGCATGTTCTTCTCATGGTGATGACAGAAGCACAAAAGAGCAAGCCTAACTACATAGTACATCAAGGCCCCTGCTTGCATAATATCTGCTAAAATTCTATTGGTTAATGCAAGTCATATGACTGAGCTCAAAGACAAGGGATGGAGATATATCTTCCCACCTTTGCGTCAGAAACTGTATATATGGCAAAGGGTATGGATACAGGGAGTTAAGAATCAGAGTCAGTAATTCAATCCACAGTCCACTCTCGGCCACATTTATTCAGAAAATATACTTATCCTCAAGACCCTCCAAAGTCTCATCCAGTCACAACATCATTTCATGATCTATGTCAGATCTGGCTGTGACTCCTCTTGATTGACCTAAAATCTAAACAGAAAGTTGTCTACCTCCCACCCCCAACTCCCCACACATCCAGCATATAATGGTGAAATAGGGACAGGATGACTGCAGTTCCCACTTCTGTTTAGAAAGAGGGAGAAGGATTCAGAGACTTAATGATCAATGGCAATTCTAAAGTCCTGCTGGGCAAATATTGTAGGATAGGGAATGTTCCTTGATTAGGTCCAAACACAACCTCCCTGGGGGTTGACTCCCTAATCCATTGTTCTTACAGCTGTTAGCTCTCCTCTCTGAAAATCTTTATTTTTCTATTCAATAGCTTTTTTGACCACTTTTGAAGAGAGCGCTGAAGAATATGCCCTTTGGGCAACTGAATAGCTTTCTTAGCCTGTTTCATCCCTGAAAAGACTTAGGGACCCAGATGTCTTTTTACATCTTGAATGGTCTCAGTCCTTTTAGCCTAAGGTGATCACAGTTTTTTGGCCACTGTACTTACCTCAAACATTTTATGGGTTTTCTATGTATTTGATTCCTCTTAACTCCATGTACCGAAAGCCACACCCACAATTAGTTTTGAATCATGCCAGTCTCTCTAGACTCAATTATGACTACTTTGGGTATATTAGCCTCCTGTGAGGCCAAGGCCTATAAGCCCTTTTGAGCAGCTGAGAGTGTCTCCTAGATAGAAACTTATTTTAGAGTATTAATAAAAGATGTTACAACCACACCCTTGATTTGATCTGGTCCACATGCTGTATCTTAACTAGCCATGACCTTGGTTTGATCTTTGTTCTTGGTTTGATCTGTATCTTAATTTGAGAATGATTTATTAGCAAGAGAGGATGGAGTTGACAGATTTTCCAATTCAGCAAGTTCTGGGCCCTCCATATTCCCTCTAAACACTCTCTGCCCTATGACACCCCTTATTTCCTTTATGAGTTATCTTTTTTGGAAATCCTTATCGAATGCAACATAAAGGAGTCAGCTTTTGCTTTCAACATTTTGTCTGGAAACTATCTTACTTAAACCCATGTGCTCTCTTCAAGTTACCGTAGAGTGCCAGTTTTACCATGTGTTTCATCTCTACATCATATGGGTCACCTTTTTTCAAGCCTTCTATCACATTTTACCAACTGCTCACCACTTGATCCCAGAGCCAGTGCTGCATATTTTTGTTGCTAACACACCCCTCTCTTGGTACCAATTTCTATATCCATCAGCTATTAACACAATAAGACATATAACAAACAAGCACATAATTTCAGTGGCACAAATAATACATGTTTGTTCTCATTCACAAATATTCAAGTCGGCTGGTTCTGCTCTGCATGTCCTACATCCTCCTGGAACCAAAGAGTGCTCCTAGAGTCACTGCCCTAGCCAGGGCATGCTCTTCTCATGGTGGGGGCAGAAGTACAAGAGGGCAAACCCCACTTTGCAAGCACATTTCAACCCTGGTTCACATCTGCTCACATTTTGTTGGTCAAAGTAACTCACATGAGTGAGTCCAAGGCCAAGGTCCAGGGAAATTCACTCCACCTTTTGCAGGAAAAGCTGCAGTTACACAGCAAAGAGTGTGAATTCAAGGAATGACTGGGAATTGAGGCCAAAAATGCAATTAATCACAGCCTTCCCCCCCCCCACCCTCCATCCTGCATGGATGATCCAGCATCTGGCTTAAATGTAGGGATGTCAGCCTTCAATCATTCTCAGTTGGGGCTTTAGCCCAAACCAAAACGCTCAAGAAATTACCATGTAGAAACCTCCTACACCTACCCAGACATGTGTGCATATGCATCTGCTTATAAAATTTTGCACCTTTACACCTATGAGATATGAAAACATACATAAAAACATATGCACATGGATATTCTCATATATATACATCACGTCTATATACACTTATATATGTACCCACATACGTGTACCTCCTTTAAGGCTCATACCAGTTCCACATCTATGAGGAAATTGTGCCTGTAACAGATTGAAGCCACTAAGAAATTTCACCACCACGCTCCCCACGCTTCCCTGGTCAGCCTTCTCTCCAGGTCTCCACAGTGATCTCTACAAACTTGCTTCTCTCTCTTCTACCCTCTGATCCCCTCATGCTCATAAACTCACCTACCTCGTGAGGAAAACCAAAACCACCAGATTTTCAAGCCTGTGCCCAGAACTGCAGCTGGTCCATACAGTACCTTTGTGTTGGGTTAGGAAAGTGTGCTCCCTCCTCCAAGACAGTTAACTGCCATTTCTTGAAAAACTGTTATAATGTACAATTTTTATTAGAATAATGTCTTTTACTACCATCTGCCAGTATATAATTCAATTATGTCTTTGTCATGAACAGCATACCGCCCCCCCATATGTGGTATCCTTAATCAGTGTAAAACTTGCACAACCGTATATGCAATCCTGCCCATAGTCACCTCCCTCTGTGTAGACACACACCAGTATACAGGCACATCCTCACTCAGCCACTGTCTCCCTGTCTCCCTGCTCAGAAGGCTGCCTGCTCTCATCAGCATCTATCTCCAAAAAGTGAGCAATCTGCCCCCCACCACTACTACCTAGGGCTGTTCTGAGCCCCCAAGTTACTTAGAGGTATGAAAGCTCTTTGTCACTCTCATATGGGCACATATGCAGGCTGGCAGGTAGATGTCGCGGGCGGTTATTGAGGCAGTGAGAGCCTGGGCTGGGCGGGCCTCTCTGGAGTGGCCATGGGCAGGGCATGGAGTGCTTACCCACCTACTCAGA